ATTATTTGTAAGTAAAGAATTTTACCACCACTCCCTTACTTATACATCTGACATTAAAGTTTTTTAAAGTAGGTATGCATCCAGATCCTCTACTTAGGAAAAGCAGCAGTCCTACTCTGTATTTGAGGAGCATCATCAGCTTTCCTCTGCCAGTACTGATATCACAACATTTAAAAATTTGTTTATCCTGAATGTTTTGTGAAAAATATTTAAAATTCACTGATTCACTAGAGAATAAACATTCATTAATTAACAGCAGAAAGTAAACACTCAGAGGAGAAAAACAGAGTTAAAGTGATTTAATGTAAAAATTTGTATGAATATTCATGGCATTATTTTGCCTCAGTTTCTAGTTCTAATGGTGCTGTTTCTCTGAAGAACTAATTTAATTGAATAGATACATGTTTATGTGTACAGAGGTTCTCAAGTGTTCCATCAATTGTGCTTTTTTTTTCCTAGGCATCCAATTCAAACACAAAATTCTAATATCCATAATCCATATATATATATATATATGTGTGTATATGTATATGTATGTATGTATATGTATATATACATATATTTCACAGTGTGTTTGCCTGTAAAACTCCCAAATAAGTAATTTTATTTTTCTGAAACATACCTTGGAAACCTGAAATTAATTGTGGCACAGCACACCATTCTCATGCTTTCAAAGTCCCAAGTGTTTTGCAAACACAGGACGATTTAGGAGATTCACTGCTGGGGCAATACAACTGGATTCTGCCCCTTCTTTATTAAAAGAGGAAAAGAAGAGAAAACCCATCTGATTTTATTCACAATATCAGATTGTGATTCTGTGATTATGAGACCAGACCATTTTTTACAGTATACTCTTTTCTTTCCTAACTGCAAGTACTGATTCATTACTGTCCCCAGCTGGCAGAAATGCACACCCATGGGAGGTAGACACTTGAGTCACAGAACCACAGGATCACAGAATTAACTAGCTTAGAAAAGACCTTTGAGATCATCAAGTCCAGCCTATGACCTAACATCACCTTGTCAAACCATGGCACCAAGTGCCACATCCACTCTTTTCTTAAATACCTTCAGGACAGTGATTCCACAAACTCCCTGGGCAAGCCATTCCAATGCCAAATCACTCTTTCTGTGAAGAAAGTGTCCAGCCTCAAATATTTGTCTGGTATGTAAAAGGGAGACAAGGATCCCTGAACCTTAAGGTTGTTGTCAAACAGCCCCAGCCAGATGGAGCTTTGACAGACAAAGGTAAGACTATTTCATAAATGTAGTTATCAACCACTGCCCATAGGCTGAAGCTAACTTCATGGACAGACATGGATAAACCACAGCTCAAGTTACAAAATGTCTTGCAGATTCAGGGGGACTTGAATAAGGATCTGCATAAAGAGAAAACAATAATTTCAGAATTTATATAGTGAAAAATTAAGTTCAAGTCTCTTTAGCTACTACTTTTGCCTACTTGTCTAACCTAGTATTTTTTTTGTGTGAGATTTTTACTTTTGTGTGAGCTACACAGAACACTGTAGTGTGTCATTCACTCTTGCAATCTAACATTTTCTCCTTTTGTTTTTCTGGAATCAAAACAGTTTTCATTCCTTGCAAGGCATGCCCAGTGCTAGCTGTATCATGTTTTAAGACTGTTATTCTTGCTTCTAAGAAAACCTGATTTGTGCTCGATTCTTCTTATTTTCAGTCTCTTTTCACTGATCTCACTGTCACTCTAGCTTTGTTAAAAGCACAAACTGCACTGCTCCCTTGTCTACTTTAACATTGTGTCATAGTTCCTTGGCTTTAAATCCATAAGTCACTCACTCTAGTCATCCTCTTCACAGAAATAAATGCCTTTAAGGAGGCCCACAGTTATGAAAACTAAAAGTAGAAATATACCAGAAAGTGTTAAAGGCTAATTATTACAAAATTATTACCCTTTTTTCCCTTACTATTTTGTTGCTGTCAAAGAGCTTTATCTTTTCTCAGATGTGTTAAAATAATTACTTTACAAGGAACAGTGGGTCTCCACTTATGAAAATACATTATCATATCAGTTATATTTGAGAGGTTGGGAAAAAAGCAGCGCAAAATCTCAAAGGAAGGAATTCCTAATAGGAATTCAAAAGATGTGATCTTCTCTGATTTTCACTTTTACTAAGGTTCTCAGAAGTGGGTCTGATATCATTTTCAGAAAGGCACGATCCAGATTATTTTCAAAATATTTACCCAAGTTTTCCCAAACTCTTCTGGCTGGGTGAATATCGTTAGATATCCACAAGTGCTTTGGCTGTGCAGAGTACCCAGAGAGATAAGAAGAAACCATGTTGTCCAGGTGCCAGATAGCCTCGTGGGGTTTCTGCTGAAGCACAACCAAAGGCAATGGCTACAGACCTCCACTGCTAGGTTAATAGTTTGTCTGAATGAATTTAAGGGTCTTCTCCAGACTAAACAATTCTATGATTCCATCATAGAGTGTTTTACAAATCCATTTTTTAACCTCCTACTCAACACAAAATCAGTAAGCCAGATGCTACATGAATATGGAGCACAAAGCAGCAGCTTCTTTCTAACCGGGCTACATTTTTACCATCTAGACAGCCTGGGCACTCTGACACTGAGATCTATGAAAAAGATGTGTTAAAGCCACATCCCTATGCTGGGGATTACTCCTCTGTGTAACTTAGCTTCCCAGCATCCATAAAAAGAAATGGTACAAGCAAGACTTGTTCTCAAAATTAAACCTCTAAGTCACACCAACAACCTGCTCAGATTTAGCTATCAACTGTCTAGAGGATATATTACTGCTTCATAGATGAGAGAAAAGGGGAAACATAATAGAAATACTTATCAGCTAAAGGGAAGATAGAAGATTCAGGAGCTCGTCCCCAAATGGATACTTTACAGGACTGTGCTGTTTGCTGCTGCCAATGGTAAGTAGCCAGTCAGCAGCTAATCCAGCTTGTTATGTGCCCATAAATCTGCACAGGTAATCCCAACTCTGAGTTCTCCAAGTCCCTGAGTGCTTAATCACCGAAACTTTCAACTCATAGACGTATTTGTGTGCAAAACATAAAAAAAACCTAAACCACAATTGACACCACCAGCTCCCAGCTACATAACGTACAAACTTCTCTGAGAAAACTGTCATATGTCCACAGATTTTGTTCATGTGCAGATTGCCAGACTGTGCAGCATTGTTTTCATAGTCTGAAAATTCATTTTGCTTAAATGTGAATACTTTCTTTTTGTGAGAAAGCAATAGGAGAAAATACTATAATATCTGATTCTGTCTTTAGTTCAGAAACAACAGTTCAGATTTTAAAAAGCAAAATAATGATTTATATAAGACACAAAAACTTAACAAAATTGCTGCAGTAAGTGGATATACACTTCCTTCAGAACTTTGTCAAGTGAGTTTTCACAATTTTAAAATAATTGTCATCTGTTAGAAAATGACATTTCAATTTTGAAGGAGTACTGATCTAAATAAATCAGCTGTGATTGTATTTTTGTCCACAGACATCTGAACTATGTCACAGTTTGTTGTTGAAACAGGAAACCCACTTTAGTTAGGCTAGAGCTGGACAATGAGGCTTGATGGCTGTTTGATATGGACACACTGAGCATCTGATAAGATATCAAAACCCATGGTGGTTAGGAATGTACTGCTCAAGGTGGCATAATATAACAGTACATGACAGTACATCAATTTCTCTTAAATTGGATTTTTCAGAACATCAAATTAAAATTAGATATTCTGGAAAACAGAACAAAACATGTGTGTTTGATTTTGCTTCCTAATGTAAAGCCTAGCTTATGGTGACAAAGGAAAATTTTAATGGTTTGGCAAAAGGGAATAAGCAACAGAAAAGTTGAATTATGCAGCTCTCGACACCCTGATGCATTAAGGATATTTGCAGGTGCTACTATATCAGAGTCTAAGGGGCTGTAATTTCTCTCTCACTCTTTTTTCCTAAAAAGTACCTCTAAGGTTTACAATACCCAAAAGAATGCAGTATTTGACTGCACATCTTACACATCACCTTCAAAATCCCAAGTTCTTGAAACAAGAGATGTGATAGCTCCCCAAAAACCAGCCTTACCAGGTGAATGATTGGAATCAGTTGAAAAAAGAGGCTCCTTAGTAGAGCTGAATAAGAGCCAGCGTTTTCTATAGATGAGAAATTTCAAAAATTGTATGTTTATTCAGAAGAAAAGTAAAGAAAGAAAGAAAAATGAAAACTGAAAAAGAAAATGCCATCAGATTCAAGATCAAATCTAGGACAAAGTTACACTTCAGGTCAATCAAAAAATAATTCTAGCTTTTTTATCAATGTTTTGACTTATATTTTTTTGAATGACAATACTACATTAAATTCAAAATTTTGATTTCACATTATCATTAATAAAGTAATGTTTCTCAAAATACATTTCAGTCAAAGCTTTTACAGCTCCAGAAATCTTCAGACTAACTCTAACTCACAACTTGCTCAATTTCAAGCCAGCACCAATTCACATCTTTCCTGCAAGCTGCTATTTCACATCAAAAATATCTGCAAGTCAGATGTGCTTTTTTTCAGTAAGACCCTTGTGGATTTATGCTAATATTAATTTTAAACTGAGCAGAGCTTGAGAAAGTGTTACCACACCATTAGAGCAATAATACAGATCTCTGATTAGTAGAAGACAGCAATAAGCAAACAAATATTATTTTCATCTCTCTTCACACTCTGGGGAATTTTAGTGAAAAAGACCTTGTTGCAATATTATTTTCCATACCAAAACTTTTGAGAGGGATGAATTACATGTATGAGCAGAGAATTTAAAATACTCATACCTGAAAACTAAACCACTAGTTCAGGCTGGGGTAGAAAATACTTTGGTCGCTTCTAACACTGTGCAAAAGCATCAGTTTCATATTTGCCATAAAAAGAATGGGATTAAAAGATACAGTCTATGAAACCCAAACTCTTCACCAACAGAAACATATTTTCCTTTAGATTTACCGTCCACTGCTCTCCAGAAAGCTGAAAAATAAACTTGTTCTGTTCTTTATTTGCTCCATCTGATGAGGCATGACTCTTCTTGAGCTGAGGATTCTTTCCATGGATGTCCAGGTTCTTCTCATTGATGTCTACAAAGCCATTCTTGAGGTATTTTGATTGAGGAATACCTTTCTTACGGCACTCTAGTATCAAATTCCATTCCTGTTTTATCCTGAAATAGTGCCAAAAAATGCTTATGTGAAAAACATATGGCAGGTAAGTTCTAAAGCTTAATCTGTGTTTGCAAAAGTACTTAACTAAATATAATTATTCATCTAAGGTATTGGCTATTTTTTATATATGTATACTAAGAAAATATGCATTTCCTGGAGTTACGCTAAGGTTTTCTAGACATACGAATAGATTTCAAGTGATCAGGATTTCATTCACTGACTATAAAACAGTAAGATGCAGAGAATAACAGAAAAGTGGAGACTGAGCAAACTGTAACAGAAAATAGCAAAAATTATACGCTTTATTTTGATAGGATAGGAAATATATTCTCACAGAATAAATTACATGCATAGACAAAATCAAGTACCTGGTGATACAGGAAAACATTTTCTTTGGGAAAAGGTAAGAAGTGCCTTTTTTCTCTGCCCTTTCTTGATCATGTGTAATGATTTATTTTCATTTTTACACCAATATCTTCTTAGAAAGTAAAGGTTAAAGTTATCACATGCCAACTGATTGCAGATTCAGTTTCAGTAACTTCTACCTCATCTCCAAGGCAAGCTTTTTCTCATAACTTCAGGTACAAATTCAATTTGACATAATTAAGCGTTGTCAAGGGCTCAAGTTTTTAGTTAGGAGAGATTTATTTCAGTTTAGTCAATTAAAGAACTGGTTGGTTAACAGAAGCAAGTCTTTCTTACACCAAAACAAGACTCTGGAGGACCCTGTGTATCATAAATCTGACCTCACACTTTGAATTCTATATCCTGTGGTACATAAAACTCGTTTATGCCATCTCCATCCTCTGACAGAAACTTTAATCTAAAGCATTGAAGAAAACTGAGAGTTTAAGAACAACACAAAGTTCAGGATTAAGTAGCCCTACAGAAAGTAAATATGCTATGTCCTAGAAAGAGAAACACATGCAAGTTTATAAAGTTCAAATAAGAAGTTACAAAATCTTTACACATATTACCACTTGATTATGGAGTTCTTCTCTACAATGCTAGGGTGTAAAAAAAAAAATTGCCACATGAGAGAGAATCATGAAGTAATAGAATTATTTGGATTGGAAGGGACGCTGAAGATCATCTATTTTCAACCCCACTGAGTCTGGAGGGACACTGCTCATCACTGGTGGGTGATCATCAGTCATCACCCATCACGGCTGGGTGGACGCATGCAAAGTGTAGTGGCCAATGGATCAGTGACCAAATGGAGCCTTGGTCATTGATTCATTGGCCACAACACTTTGCATGCCACCACCCAGCCAGGACTTTATCCACTAGACGGTCCATCCCTCAAATCCATGACCCCTTTACCCCTATCCACCAATATCATGGCTCCATCATAAAAGACTCACAGATTTGTCAGGATTAAAACCAGAATGTCTAGTTTTAAATCACATGCAAGAAACCCACTACAAACTTAGGTGAAAGAAGCTTGTCCCAAAATCTTGTTGAAATAAATTATTTTTGGACATCCATAACAAGGTATGAAACCACAGTGCAGAGCACTCTTATGGAAATATAGCATCACAGATTAAAAGTCATAGATGACTTAATGCTATCAAAAAAAGTCTTTAGAGAGCAAAACTGCACGCCGAGATAGAAAGGTATTGAGACAGTTGTATATATTGTGGCACTTACAGAAATCTCAGGGGATTTTAGAGAGATTTGGAAGCAGAGAGCACAGCAATGGCAAAGACACAGCACAGTGACACACTGCAGGCACTTTCTACACTTTTGGAAAATACATATAACTATTTATCAGAGGTTCAAGCCTGAAGGACCACTGAAGGAGAGTTTCAAGGAGCAGCACACTATACATGCAACATAAGAGAACTGCAGAAAGCCCCTTCTGTAACAATGACTGCAATTCCTAAGTGACATCTTCGGCAAATATTTCAGGAGGTGGATTAACAGTGAGGTTGGTTAAAAGGTAGCTCACTGGATAAAGTGTTGACAGACTATAGGAAGACAGGACAAACTCAGACTAAGTACATTCTAATGAAAAGACAGTAAGGATGTCTTTGACCCTTACAAAAATTACAGAAGTATTTCTGAAAAGATAAAATTGTATTTATCTTCAAATGAAAAAAAACATAGAAAGAAACATGATCTCTGATAAACACCAAAAAAGAAAATGAAGTTACTGCAGGTATGCAAATGTGTAAGAAAAGGATTTGTAGCATATCAGATGAAAGAAGATTCAGAGAGATGATGGGAACAATAACTTCTGAAAATATGAAAGGAGCAATAAAGGAATAGTTATAGAAGTTATTGATACCTGCAGAAATGTTACTCATTCTTGGCTTCAGTTTTCATTAGAGACATCAAGATGTACTTCACAAGTCAACATCTGGAAGAATTCCTGGTATTAAAAAGTATCAGTAGGGGAGGTATGAAAATACTAAAATGTATTTGAAATAAATCTCCTAGTTTCTCTCAGTGTCTACTGCATTGTGGAATGTTTCATACCACAGCAAGCTGTGATTATAAGTGAGTTAAGAAAAAATAGACTGGGCAGACAGAAAAACATTTAGCCGAGGGAGTGCCTAGTGTGGACTAAAGGTGTTAGCACAGTCCACCAAATATCCCCACAAATATTGTCTGAGTTTACTTGATATGACAAAGACAAGAAAATGGTTAAAGCAGATACAGATCCTTAGCCCACACTGCAATATGCCATCAAGTTGTGGCTAATATTTCTAAATTTTCAATTACAGAGGGAGAAATATCCAAACATCTGATTTGACCAAGCAGCCCTGCTAAGGGTATCCCCACCAGTTGCAGTCTAGAAGTGCTCAGATGACAGTTTTCCACATCAGCAGACATGATAGTTCAAAATCATTTCAGATGCTTTGACACATGAGTCCATTCAATGTTTAGTTTTGATTTTAACTATTCAATCTGTCATTTGTACTGGAGAAACTGCCAACAAAACTGAGTGTGAATACTGTAATAGCAATATGTTGCTAGGAAAAGCTACAAACCACTATTTCCATGCACATAAGGAAAAATAAATGGTCACAAAACGCCTACTCATATTTTGTTCCAAAACTTGTGTACCAGTGAGTATAGCTGTATAGATATAAAAGTTCTGTGTGACTAGGAAGTGAAGTGGTGTGGGGAAGGTGTTAACTGAATTTCAAGGAAGAGAAAAATATTATCTGAACAATTAAGAGGCAGAAGTCATAAGGACCATAGGATTAAACAAGTAGAATTATTTTTTTTTAAATATTCCAAATTTTACTTACCACTGCTGTTCTGCTCTTTCTTGCATTCTCCAGTCCCTCAGACAGAGTTTTCTGTCCTTCTGTGAAGCTTAATTCTGCATTACTACCCTCTCATTCCCATGGAATTCCTGCATTTTCTATCAAAGCAATAAATATTTCACTCAGTGCATACTTTAATGCACTGAAAAAAAATTGCACAAAGTGCAATACAAAATGGTGGGGTTTTGTATTCATTGCTCTTCTTTCAAGCCCAAAAAATGACTGACTCATGCCTGACAGTATAAATTCTAAGAATGTTAGAAACTTAAACAACAGAAATAAGAGGTCAAAAAGTCTAACTCAATAAAAAATAAGCTGCATTATTACACATCTGTGCTGGCTCTGTCTGGTAGACTCCAGGAACACTAGAGTAGAGGGCTCAGGTCTAAAATGTTACTGTCCCACAACAAGGAGTATAAAAAATGGTAAGAAGGGAGTTACATTAAAACTGAAAAAATAAACTGCCCTCTGACAGTCTGCTGATAATATGTATAAAACAAAAAACTCAGGAGGTCAAAGCTAGCCAAGTAAAATAAAATGCATACAACAAAAATGGTTGTTAAGCAAATCAGTCAGTGAAATATTTACCTCAGAAGAAAGACAAGGGTTAAAAATTAAACCTGTTAGGGAATTCAGCATGTATATTGCACACTGATATGGAAATCCTGTGTCAAATTTTCTCTTTACTCGTACATGAAGTTATGGTAACATGCTCTGTTAGGCTTTTAGAGAATGCAAGTATCATGTACAAGCACATTTAGAACAGATGGAAGGTGAATTAATAATGGAGCAACAAAAGTGCATAATTTTGTACAGTCCATCTCAGAATGAAAACATCATATTTCCCATGGGCAAAGGTTCTAATAATTTACAACACCTGGCTGTACCCTCAAGTTACACACTACCTAAATTAATCACTATGAGCCTTACTGGCCTGGAGTTGCAAATTATATCAAGCCAGAGTGTATCATGAAGGAAAGATGACAAAGCTGTAAATTTGCAGGTTCAGTTGAGACCAAACCAAAGGGATCTATTTGGCTACATGGTTGTCATTCTGCTCTGTCATTGTCAAAAAATTGAGATGATGGTACTTTTTAAGGGATTATTATGAAAATAAAGACCTTTTTAAGTCTTCATTTGGTGGCAATCCTCAAATTATACAGAATTTCCACCATGTTTGTCATATCAGGAGGCTATTACATGAATCTTTAAGAAAAACATCTAAAAGAGAAGATCTCTAAACCAGTGAGGCAAAAAGAAAAAAAATACTCACACAAATAAAATAATATTTTAAATACTAATATACTTTTAAGAAATTATATTTCTAATCTTGACACTTTAAAGACACCTGATATTCCAGAAACACTTTTCAACATATGATAAGTTACAAAACCACAGCTCTCCTGAAGTTTATGTCTTTTTAATATTATTTAAAAATAAAATATTTTCGTCTTCCTCTAGGCCTTGATTAAACAGTTAAAGTCAGGTTAAAAAAACAACTATTATTTTCAATAGTAAGAAAAATGAAGATAGCAAAGTCAAGCTTAATTTAGGTGGGATTATGAACCCGAAAAATATATTTCTCAAAGGGCTAGGATGAGATGTAAAGTTTCAACTCAGCTAACTATTATAGTATTTCCTCTTCAATCATACAAATAGTTCTCCCAGTTTTAAAAAAAGCTGGTTGCATGCTGCTTATGTTTGTCAAAAGAAAAAAAAAAAGAAAATTAAGTTTCATACCTATATATCTGTAACATAAAAGCACACTTTTCACTAAGGCAGATGTATGTGGCATAGAGGAATTTTACTCTGGTAAGTTATTTTCCAATATATTGCCTTTTTACAGTAAGCTTTCAGGGCAATATGTTACAGTTATGAAAAAAGATCAGCCGGGAAATAGAAGATTCAAGTATTTTCATTTTGGTTAGTGCTGTATTCCTCTTCAGGTAATCATTTCCCAAATGCTTCTTCACTATTGGAGTATAACTTCAGAAAAAGGTTCACAGCATATATTTTTCATTATTATTATACATGTTTCTTTTCAAGGACACGGTAGTTCCCTTCTTGGAATTTTATTTTCTCCAACAAAATAATGAATCTAATCAACCTGACGCAAAGGATTACTCTACAATAAAATCAGTGATTGAACCTTTCAAAGGAGCAACCAGCTTAGAAAAGAAGTGTGCATTGGTAGGGATTTCAGAGCCATCAGAGTAAATTAGGAGTAACTGGGTTTCTTTCAGTTGCTCTTCCTTCAGCAGGTACACTCTTCTCAATGTCTGATTAGAAGCTCTTGGAGGAAAGCTGTGATTCCTAGGTAAGGAAGGGAAGTTTCGTTAGATGGCACTATTTCCTCTAAACCAGGGCACAAGAATTGACTGGGACACTACATGGTGACACCAGTTTAGAACTCCTGAGCAATGTTTAAATCAGAGCCACTAGATGTGCAGGATCATTAAATAATCCTATGGAATTTTTAGAAGACCATCACAGTAGAACTGGAGCTCAGCCCAGAATAATATTCCTGATAGATGAGTAACATTTGCTTCAAATTCAATTGGATTGATTCAATTTCAGTATCACTGCCAGGCTCTGCCATGCAATTTAAAGGATTGTGGCTGAACATCAGCTTTTATCTTACAATGCACTTCTGGGCATTACTTTAGATGCATGGTCTGTATGCACAAGTGCCTACAAACAAAGGCAAATAACTTAGTATTTTTATTAGTGCTGCAGATTGAAACCAAAATTGTTGACTGTAATTTGTGTTTGCAGCCAAGGGACTGCCAGCTCCAGTTTTAGACTAGCTTGGAAAAAGTTCTGCATTGGGTATTGAGTAGGAGAATAAAGATAAACACAACAAATAAATTTTTAGTTAAGGTACAAATAGAGTTATAACACTGAAGTTTGGCAGAGTGATACCGACAAATCTTTTTTATTAAACAAACATGTAAACTCTCAGGGAAAAAAAGTCAGTTTGCCTGCAAAGTGCAGTTTTCTTGTTGCTCTTTATTTTTAATATTCACGAAGTATATAACTCAAGAAATAATACATGCACATTGAATTATCCAGACTTTGAGAAGAAATTTTTGGAGAGGAGACAGTGGATGAGGTAGCTGAACAAACTTTTATTTTTGCTGCATGTTTGTTGGTGGGCAGAGAAGGCTGTGCCATTTCACAGCAAAGATTTAGATAGCTAATCTGGGCAAACAGCTCTGGCATTTCCTCACTAGAATGTTTAATTTGTTAGCCTTCAAATTTATCTTACCTACTTCTCACACAAATGACAAACATGTTGCCATCCCTCAAAAAAACCCCTAACTGTAAACATTCACTCATTTTCCCTTAAAAAAAAAAAAAAAAAAAAAAAAAGGTAAAAAGGAAATCTCAGTGAAGAAAATCATTATACCACATCAAGGTCATCTGACAGTATTCAGGATTTTGGGGAACAATAAAAGATGGTTTTAATAAAAGATCACCACTACAAGAATCTATCTAGAAGACTAAATATAGAACAGTGCTATAAACACACACTTCTTTCCATGATATGCACCTTCATAAACATATATGAAATCTCAGGACTGTACACATTTTTTTTAACAGTTTGTAGTTCATATCCTATGGGAGATTTCAAATGGGCTTGTCTGACAGTATCAAGAAGATGACATAAAATGAAAATAAGCCTACCCAACACTGTTCCATTTCTTTGTCGTTTATGTTCAGTTGTTGGTTTACATGTGTTCTTCAAACTGCCACACTTTCACAGTCCCACAAAACCAAAGATAAAACAGAGGACTGAATTAAATCCATAAAAAATATTTATCTGATACTTGTACCTCAGAAGGCCAGTATTCTCAGTAATTGGTTGTCCAGAATCAGCTCTCACTGGCCAGTTACTTAAACATCTGCCTTGCAAACAAGTCTTTACAAGACCTCACCATTAATGCTCAGCTGAAGCTTTTCATTCATTTGTGGAATTTTCCTCTGAAGAAAATCTTTAATCAAAAATCATCTTACTGTTTAATGAGGCTGCATGAACTAAATTACCTTGCCCCACGGCAAACAGAGCTCCCTAGAAGCTGACCAGAAGTTTGTCCTCGAATAATACATGGTACATTCCACTGCATATTATCAGGTCATTTTACATAGTAACACAGAATACAAAGAAACTTCGCAATCTCAAAGACATTAGCAAATTATAACCTCTTTGAGGACAACTTGGTGGTTTTTTAAAAAAAAAAAAAAAAAAAAGAAAAAAAAGGGGGAAAAAAAACCCCCCAAAAAAAAAAAAAAAAAAACCCAACCCCAAAGACCAGATTCCCAACTCTGTTCCATGAATGTATTTGCAGAGAAACTTTATCAATTTCAACGCTACTTAAGAATTCACTCTGACTTCTAAGAAAAATGAATATCTAGAGCCTTAAATGCTAGAATGTAGTCTTCACTTCAGGAAAGTTCCCTCTTTAAATGTCTTTTGGGAATTATAATTTTGGATCAAAATACTTTCTTACTGTGACACAGTATGAACTTGCATTGATTTCAGTGAACCTACCTAACAATAGTAAAACTTTAATCCCTGAGTATGATACCTGAATTTGATCAATGCAGAACTCCATAAAATAATGAAATGTATTTATATATGGAAACACTATTTCTATTATTTAATTAGAAATATAGTTTTATCTGTGCTTTCAAGCTAAAAATCAGCAAAGTCTTCTCATATTTTTGGTCTGATATTTGAGAGCACTGAAAAGCATATAACGAGTAACTTGTGAGCTGACATTTAGGACCTAAATGCCAGTGGTCACTGCACACCTCATAAAACAATGAGGATTTTTTTTTTAACTGAATTTGGCATATTATTGCTAATATTCTTATTACTGTGACCATTATTCTATCAGCTTTGACCATTCTATAAGGCCTGCATCATGAGAATGAGCACGAACTTTGGCATTTGTTTCAGTGGGTGTAATACTGATCACTCAGCTCAGGAGACAAAGTCTAATCTATTTCCTCCTTTTTTTCCAGGAGCTCTACAAGTAGAACTAACTGGAAAGCAATCTGAGTGCACAAAGACACACAACTAAACAAGTACAATCCACAAATTGCAATTTAAAGGAAGAAAAAGTCCTTTGCACATGCAGCAAGTGCACTTTTATTTCTGTTCATTATGTCTCAAATTTCCTATCTTTGATACGGGAAGAAAAGAGAATTAATTTGGACATCATTAGTGGAAAAAATGCAGAAAAAGAGGTGAAGCTCCACTCTTTCAGATAGAAGTATGTCTACAATAATTAACCACAGGCAGAAAAAATGAGGGAGAATGCATTGGTTTCAGGAAAAGACAAATCAATGTAAGAACTTATTCTTGACATATGCTACTGACAAAAGCCATGGGAACTCAAATTAGCTACCTCAGAGGACATAAGGCTACCCTCTTTCCCTCTTACAGAGAGAACTTACCGTGCATCTTTTTCTTTTGTACTAGTGAACTCAAAAGTTATCTTCTGCACCACAGAAAACCAAAACCAAGGAAAAAAAGCGGCAGGGGGATGTTGACATGTTGTCCACATTAGGACAGAAATAAGGTTTGATTAAGTTTGATCCCAAGCCCTTTCACTTGTGTTTTCTACCATAAGGGAAACAGCAAACATCCATCTCTCAGCTGTCATAGTTTAACCTCAGATGGTAACCAAGTCCCGCATAGACATTTACTCCCCAACCCTCCAGCAGGATGGGCAGAAAAATCAGGATAAAAAAGTAATACTTCTGCTTTGAGTTAAGAATAGTTTAATAATAGAAACAAAGTAAAATATAATAATACTATTAATATTCATTGCAATAATAATAACAAAAAGAGAGAAAGGAAACCCAAGATAAATAATGTCAAATACAACTGCTCACGACCTGCTGACACAATCCTAGTTGATTTCTGAGAAACAAAATCACTCACTTCTAGCCAATTCCACCAATTTAAATGGCAAGAATAAAGTTCTATGGTATGGAATATCACATTCAGGTCAGCTGTCCTGGCTGTGCTCCCTGCCAGCTCTGTGTTCAGCCCCTCAGTAGCAGAGAATGAGACACTGGAAAGTCCTTGGCTTAGCATAAGCACTACTTAGCAACAATCTAAACAACAGTGTGTTATCAACATTATTCTCATACTAAGTCCAAAACACAGCACTGTACCTGTTAGTAAGAAAAAAACTAATTCTATCCTGCTTGAAACCAGGACACAGCTCACACCAAAAAGAATGCTTATCCTCACTAGAGAATTCATTCTATAGTATGAACCTCTCTTTTTTTCTTTCTTTTTTTCTTCTGTTTTTGTTAGAATTACAGTTTTATGGTAAGCTTTAGTGGAGATGGGAAAACCAAGACTGCTGCTATGGCTGTTTTGAAAAGAAAGGTCCCAGAAAGACCAGTCAGACTCTGTATTACCCTTGTCTCCTCCAGGCAGCCAGTGCAGCTGCCTCAGTAGTGAGAATCTGCTAGTGAGGGTATCCTGAGAGTGCTGAAACACCACACAAAGGTTCAATGCAATTATGTTCTTAAACAAGGGCACTGTTTAACCCTGCGCATTTTATTTTTAAAACAGAAAGTGATTTCTATTTTTTTCTGTTCTCAGAGGGAGGAAATTGATAAGTCCCATGTTCAAACTTCCCAATGCAGTTTAATATTCAACAGTGTCATATGATCAACAAAATATCACTTAAATAAAAAAAAAATTCAGTATAATAAAAACAATAAAATTATCATTGGACATAAACATTATAATCAAGGCCTTCTTTAATACCCCAAGAAAAAATAACCTAATAATTCTTATTCTTTTTGGCATTACCTATTCAGAAACAATTGAATATGTCTACTTATTTATGTCCTTTTCTTTCTCCCCTCAACACAACAAAAATACTTATAGTATTTCTTAGTACTGAAGCTTGTGAGCTTATGTTCACTAATTCTATAATTAATAATCCCTACTTTTATGCACTATATTAAAATAGAAAGTTACAAACATATGTTATTTTTCTCTTCAATTTATGTCTATGGTAAACAATAAAATACATCATTGATATAGCAAAATCTACATAGGAACGAGCATAAACTAATGAAATATAAGTATTGTTTGTGCTGCATTTCTCCTACTATCATGTGAGGATAAGAAGTAAGATGTCATTGAAATCAAACCCAAATCCCAAAATTTTAATAATCAACAATTATTTTTTAGTATATTCATCATATTTGTTACATATATTTCTATTTATTATATTTAGTATATAGAAATGTTAGTGGATAATAAGAACAGATTTAGTTAAAATTAATAACACAAAAGTGGTCTTACTTCTCCAATGCACTTTGTTCTAATCTTTCTTTCTCCTTCCTCTGACGTTCTTTGCTCTTCTTAACTCGAGTTTCCCACAGTCCTCTTATGACAGAAAAGTCAAATATTATCACCTGATGCCCCATATTGTTGACATTAAGCTTCTCCTGCAAAAACAAGCCAATTCTTCAGAAAAAGGAATAATGAGATAAATAAAACTCCAAACTATCAGGTGTCATTAAAATTTTATGGGGAAAAGAGTTGAAGTCATAAGAAATATTAATATAGTGTGTTTTCCATCTTACCCAATTTATCTAGGGTTTTGTGCTGGCAGTAATCAATGTAGCATGCGATTCACTTCTACATAAAATCCATGACAACAGCCATATGTTGAATTTTTTGTATTCCTTACAATTTTTTTCCTTTTCAAGATAAAGGCAGAGTTGCAAAAAAAAAAAAAAAAAATACTGGTTTGATTAAGTAACGCTGATGAAAATAGCTTTAAAGGCTTTACATTTTTAATAATTTCTGTGACTAATATTAAAATGAATGCTCATAAAGAATTTATTCATTTTAAATCATGCAAAAGCACTCCATCTGGAGTTGTTGTGTATTGATCTTTATGACCTCAAGCTATCCTCTTTCAATGGAATTTGTGAAATTCCTGTGTTCCCATAAGTATCTGCTTATCTGCAAAGGGCATCAAAAGACCAATGCCATAACAAACAAAAAAACTTACCTAAGGCAGGGACACGGGGAAGGTTTGAACACGTCATGGTCCCCACTTACTAATATGTCCTTATTCTGGCCAGTCAACAGGGTTGACTTTGCAGCAGCCAGGAGGGTCATGGCCAGGACCTGAGGCTCTTCACCTCAACACATGGTAAGGTAGTCACACCTGCCTTTTTCACTTTACTGGAGTGCACAGTCAGATAACGCCAGGACATAATGAGCAATCATGTGTGAATCATTCACCTGTCCCGTACACTGTTATTAGTATTGTTTTTCCTGTTTAGTTTTTTTTTTTTTTTTTTTTTTATTTCATTGCTGTTTCCACTAAATCACTCTTATCTCAACCCATGATCTTTATGTTTTTTTTGTGCCTCCATTCTTCTCTTGATCCTGCTACAGGGGAAGGCAGACACAGCACATTGTCTGGTGTGTTTTGAGCAGGAGCACTAAATTGGAGAATACAATTCCTAAACCACAACACATATGGAAACACATTCCAACAGTCAAAGGCTTGGTATCAGGTATCAGGCTCCATACAGTTAAGAACTGATGTCAGCCAGAAAAGAAGCTCGAGGAATATACCTCTTCTGATAAAATATGCTGGAAAACTAGTAACAATGGACAAAGAGAAAGCTTAGCTACTCATTCTTTAATGGCAACCTCTTTTCCCACCCTTCTTGACTGGATGGACTGCAGGATGTGGACTGGAAGAGAAAACTCCCTCCCACAAGATCAGTTTCATGACCATCTGAGGAACCTGAACATACATAAGTTTTTGGGGCCTGATGAATGCATATCAGAGTTCTGAGGAAATTGGCTGATGTTGTTAACAAGCCAATCTCCCTGGTATCCAGAGAGTCATGGAAGTCAAGGGAAGTTCCTGATGAGTGGAAAAAGGGAAACACAGCATTGATCTTTAATAAAGTTAGAAAGGAGAACCTTGGGCATTACCAAACTGTCAGTCTCACCTCTGTGCCTGGGAAGGTCCTGGAACAGATCATCCTACTAACTATGCTAAGGCACAAAGTGAACAGGAAGATGATTTGGGATAGCCAGCAGGGCTTCTCTAAGGGCAACACTTGCCTGACCAACACAATGGCCTTCTATGATGGAGGGACTACACTAGTGGACAATGGAAAGGCTACAGATGCCATTTTTCTGGACTTCTGTAAAGCCTTTGACACAGTCCCCCACAATGTCTTTCTCTCTTATTTGGTAAGACATGGATTCAGCAGGTGGACTGTTGGGTGGATAAAGAATTGGGATGACAGCCACATCCAGAGGGTGGTGGTCAATAGCTCAGAGTCCTGATGGACATCAGTGACAAGTGGTGTCCCACAGGAGTCTGTATTGGCACCAGTAGTAATCAATATCTTCCTTTATGACATACACAAAAGGATTAAGTGCACCCTCTGCAAATTTGTAGAGGACACCAAGCTGAGTGGTGTTGATACACCTGGAAGATGGAATGTCATCCAGAGGGACCTGGACAAGATTGAAAATTGAGTCTATGGGAATTTCCCACTTATTTTTCCACTTTCCCACTTGGCACAAGTGCAACTTGCTGCACTAAGTGCAAGTGCAAGGGCGAGGTGCTGTACATGGGTCAGGACAACCCGTTAAAACACAGGCTGGGGGATGAACAGAGGGAGAGCAGCCCTGCCCAGAAGGACTTGGGGGTGCTGGTGGATGAGAGGCTGGACATGACCCAGTCACGGGCACTCCCAGCCCAGAAAGCCAAAGGTGTTCTGGAGTGCATCAAAAGGAATGGTAAGCAGCTGAGGGAGAGGATTCTTCCCTTCTACTCCACTCTCGTGAGGACACAACCTGGAGTGCTGCATCCTCTTCTATGTTCCTCAGCACAGGAAAGACATGGACCTGTTGGAGCTAGTCTAGAGAATGACCAGCAGGAAGATTAAAGGGATGGAAAACCTCTCCTTTGAAAAGACTGGGAGAATTGGGATTGTTCATCCTGGAGGAGAGAAGGCTTTGGGGTAATTGTAACTGTCCAGTGTCTGAAGGAAGTCTACAAGAAAGATGGAGAGAGCACATAATAATAAGACAAGGGGGAATGGATTCAGACTGAAAGAGATGGTTTAGATTACATATGCTAAAGATACTTTTTACTGTGAGGGTGGTGAGGCACTGGAACATGTTGCCCAGAGAAGCTGTGGATTACCTATCCATCCTCAAGAGCAGGCTGGATGGGGGTCTGAGCAACCCAATCCAGTGAAAGGTATCCCTGTCCTGGAACTGATGATCTTTAAGGTCCTCTCCAACCCAAGCCATTCTGTGATTCTCTATGTGAAACACAGCATGACTTACAAGATGGTATTCCTTACAGTGGTTCAGTACCAGCATAAGAAACTAATCACCTACTAAATCTCTAATGCAAGTACACAAACAAATCTTGATAAAAGAGGTGGAACTTTCTAGCTCAGAGTCACTAGTCGTGATACAATCACCATAATATACTAGCTCTCATAAACTAGTAGCTAGATTACCAACAGAGGAAAGTCAGTTATTTAAACTTTGTGTGGGCTTTTATTAGAGAACACATTTATAATACCATTTATAAGCTTAGGGGAAAAAAATAAGCAGTAGAAGAAAACCCTTCTTGACCATCTACTTATCGGTTAAAGAGCAATCCTCCCCATCCTTTCCTGTGTGTTTTCAAGCTCATGTCTATAATTTTCCCTCAGATGCTACTGTGATCATTTTTTCCAAGCATTGTGTCCTTCAGCTGGGTCCATTTATCATCTGTCCTTCTGTTATAATATTGAGGACAAAGGGGCAATTATTCTCCCCTCTGTATTTTTTCCCTTGTAACTTTGCAGCTGTCCCTTTTCTCTTTCACCCCCTTTCACCTACACATCCCTCTGTAGTGCATAGCATATAAAGGAATAATTTATTCTGAGACAGGAAAACACCCTCATGTCCTCTGGAAAATGCACAGTACAGACTAAAAAGAATTATGCATAGATATGTCCAGAGAAAAGGTACCTACCTGCTCACTTTATTAATCATCTCAGTGAGAGAGGCCCTCTCAAATACCAACAAATATTGGCTCAGAAACTGGTCAGAGACCAGTATCATTCTATTCACATGGCCTTCTGTATCTTAGGATGTTTACATAAAATGTTGTCTTTGTTGTTCATAAAGCTGCAACTATTTCTTGTTTATCTTTGCTCGCACTAAAAATGAGGCAAAAATAGTTCCTAACATTTCTGGAACTAACAGATGACAGCAGCTAAGTCAAAACCCCAATAAAACAGTGTAATTAAAACAGTGACCTTATTCTCTGTGGAAAGGTTTGTCCTTCTAAAACATATTCACTACTAATTTACAGGAACTTTTTACCTCATAAAATAAATTGTTCACCTCTGCTTACAGGAGGAAGAAACCCAGTGACAAGGACTTCACCCCTCACAGTCACTCTGCAGGGTCTAATTCATTTTAATAGACCAATTCATAGAAGTGTGTTTTGGTAGAAAGGCTGTTGCAGAAGTTGAATTGTTGTGTGACAGTGAAGTTACCGCTGGACACTTGACCTCTTTTAGAACTAGATGGCCTTAATCAACAGAGAGTCTGAATAGACTGTGAAAGCACTCCTTTTCCTTGACTTGTTTCTCACCTTCCTGTCTCACAGGTTAAGTCATCCATTCTTTATTGAGACACTGATTTATTAAACACTAGGTCAGAAAAGTTCATTTTACCAACATATTGCTTTTATCCACATATAGCTTTTATCCACGTGTTGCACTAAGCAGCAAGGCATTGTGGGGTTTTCTTCTATGGTAATACCAAGCAGAGGACAAACTTGGGTGGGAGATGAGAGCTGTACGCCTCAGAATTAATCTCTTCAAAAGGAGCAAAACCACAAATCCTTATCAGATTACAGGGTGACTAAGGCTTTAGAAATATGTAGCAGGACAAATGTGAAATGCTTTTTGACATCTACAACTCTGAAAAGGTCACCTAGCAATCTTCACAGGGCTGTTGCTTTATCCTATATCCTTGTCTAAAAAATGGGCATGAAGTATCAAGCATGATGTCAAAATATGTATTTGCCAAAATTCAGGCACCATCATTTTCCTAATGATGAGACGTTGCCCAGAAAGGAAAACTTGCTAAAGCTATGCTTAAGTGATACTAAGAATAGGTTCTTCAGAATACCTACTCATACATGGTAAGAATTTATCACAGAAGAAGCAACTAATAATAATGATTTTGAGTTCTAGAAATACATGTTCAAATTCACGCACAGTAGTTTCTTTCTTCCAAACATCAGATTAGGTCTGTAGAGGAAAACTCAAAACTATCATCTATTATTCACAGGTGGTAAGCTACATTTGGATAGAGAAAAATCTCAATCATACACTTCTTTCTAACTTCTTAGCTTCAACTAGGAACACAGCTATGTTTCC